TTTAAGAGTTTTTAAGAGTTTAAGAGTTTTAAGAGTTTTAAGAGTTTTTAAGAGTTTGAGCCAAATGCTTTATAATATAGTATAGATATATATATGTGTGTGTGTGTGTGTGTGTGTGTGTGTGTGAATCTATGTTAGAATTCATACATTCACATATGAACCAATGTAGAACATCGATGCTTGTCTTGACATGTGATTTTTAAGCAAATGAGATTTAATTCGATTTATAGATTGTAAATTCGCCAATGAATTTAAGGTGAATCAGATTTGACCACGAATTTAGTTGACATGAAATGGAATGAAACATGCCGAATATAATGGAATCCATTTGTTTGGTTCTCTAAAATATGGAAACTATAGTTAAATAAGAGTAAGTTATGATTTTCATCCCTCTGGTTTGTTAATAAAATTAGTTTGCATCTCTGTGGTTTTCAAGTTGTGATTTTCATCTCTATGGTTTGCAATTCATTGCTATTTTCATCTCTGAACTAATTCCTATATGTAATTACAAGAGACCAAAATAATAAACAATTGTAGACCATAGACACCAAACAACAATAAAGTGTAAATCACAAGAACGACAATAACAATGAATCACAAATCATAAGGACGGAAACTGTAATTTCTAAAACATAAAGACGAAAATCTCAATTTTTAACAAACCACAGGGACGAAAAACATTATTTACAAAACCACAGGGACGAAAAACATTATTTACTCATTAAATAATAATGATAAATAACCAAAATATCTTCTTATTGCATTTTCGTACTTTCTTGCTTAAATTATATAATGATAAAATTGATAATAATATTAATAGGTGGTGGTGGCAACATCGACAGTGGCGTACTGGTTGTAGCGACGACGACAATGACAAGACGATAGTAGTAGTGGTAGGGACAATGTAGGTGGGAATAGGTGCATTGACAGTGACGATAACAAGAATAGCAGTGGTTGTAATGACGACAACGATAACAATGGTGGTGATGAAGGTGGCTGAGGTGGTGGTGGTGGTAGAGGTGGAGTTACAAGGGTGGCAATGTTGTTAAACAGGATTCAAATGTTATATTCATTATTGTTTTAAGCCGAGTTATGAAATCTGTAGCATTAACCAGGGAATAGAATTCAAATTCTTTGTCTTAAGCGAATAAACGATCAAATCCTTGAACTACGAAATCCAATAGAACCCGTTCTATTCAATTCATGAACCAAACAGGGTCAAAGAATTTGCTTATAAGAAATTTCCATTTTAATTTCGTTAATTCCTTTAAATTCTACAAACCAAACGTCACTTATTATTTCTGAGAGTCGTACATAATCCACATAAATATCATAGTAACAACTTTATTAAAAAAGAGGAGAAACATATGGGTATGTAGCTCTAGTGATGGTCAAAAACCGGTCCCGGGTTGGGCCGGGCTGAATCGGTCCCAAGCTTTCTTATAACCGGTTCCGGTCGAAAATGGTAGGACCGGTCAAGGTACTTCATAATCGGTTATGAGCCGCCGGTCCCGGTCCCGGTCCCAACCGGTCCCGACATTAAAAAATAAGATTTTTTTTTAATTTTTTTAATGATATATATTTTTAATACATTATAAAATTTACAATTGAGTCACTCAAATATACTTTAAAAATACGTTTTAATATAATTAAAATTACATTGTCTTATAAAAATACATTATAAAATTATTTGAAAATACATTTATTTATAACATTATTTGAATTTTCGGACCGGACCGGGTCAATCCATAGCCGGTCCCGATCCCACGAAACTACCAAAAACCTCAACTGGTCCCGATTTTCGGTCCCATAACCGGTCCTTACCGGTCTGGACCGATTTGGCCATCACTGTAGCTCTAAAGAGTAAAGGTCGGCCCATGGGCTGCAAGTCCAAGCCCATTTCTGATATGAAACAATCTCCAACGTTAAAATTGATTAAAAAATTAAAAAGAAAAACACTTTTCCAAGGTTGAAATCCCTATAATTAAAGTATTATAAACATTTAATGCATGACGTACAAGTTTTTTAAGCACTAGTTGTTTGGAATTAGAAATTACTGATCTGTGATAAAGAGATAGACCTAACAAATTTCAAATTTCCGCTGCTCCAACGGTAACATCCGCGGAAGGGTTAGTGTATAAATACGTCTCGAAGGTTCCAGCCTCCCCCATCGCATTTTGAGCATCTCACTCATTTGTCGACTCACGAATTCATAATCATTATCAAACCCTAATTTTCTCTCTTCCACTTCGTCAATTTGGATTTCATGGATTTCCACAGCCTTACCAGAAGAGAGCTTCAATCTCTCTGCAAGCTCAACAAGATCCCAGCTAACATCACCAATGTTGCCATGGCTGATGCTCTTCAATCTCTTCAGACCGTAAGTTCTTTGATTCTAACCTGATTGGATGGATGATTTAAAAAACAAATAGTTTGAAATCTAATCGATGTTGTATATAAACAGTGATTGGTTTCCTAATGTATCGATTTTCTTGTATAGATGTCCAGATTTCAAACTATTTCAACAAACTATTTCATCGATTAGATTTCCTATATCTGATTGTGGTTTTGCTTGTGAGTTTTAGATTTCATCGATTAGATTAGATTTCTTACATCTGATTGTGGTTTTGCTTGTGAGTTGTTAGTGATATCGTGGTAGGTTCATGTTGAACTAGTTTGAAATCTAATCCATGTGCATCAATTTTATGGTAGAAACATCCAGAAATTATTAGTGATTTCAACGAAGTTATTATTGATCTCAAATCGTGGGAATGAGGAGTTTCTGAATCAACGAAATTATTAGTGATTTCATCATGTTTTTCTTACATCTGATTGTTGTTTTGCTTGTGAGCTGTTAGTGATATCGTGGTAGCTTGTTGAAATAGTTCGAAATCTAATGGCTGTGCATATAAACATTGATTGGTTTCCTAAATGAATCCATTTGAAAAATGGTTGTTTATGTTAATTAATAGGTTGAAGGTATTGAGGAGTTTTTGAACGTCTCACAGTCTGAGACCGATGGGTTGGTTGAACCAATGGAAAAGGTTGAGGTTTCTTCTCCTAAAGCACCTCAAACAAGATGCAGAACATCTACTCGGCAAAAGGTGAAAAATGGGGATGGTGTAAATTTGCCGCCCACTGCCACAAGGACAACTCGCCGTGGAAGCAAGCAATTGACCGCAGATGTGGAAGATTCAAAGAGCAATATGGTTAAAACCCCCGCTATTGCCAGCACCAGGAGGAAGGCTCTGGCAACTTCGTCTTGCCGGAATGTCAACAACCGACTGAATGAGTGCGAAGAAGAGGCAAAAAAGGAGAGTACTGTTCAGAAAGCATACAGCACAAGGCGATCGACTAGGCTGACTGAAAAGAAATCTGCAGAGCCGGAAGTGAAGAAGGAAAGTGAAAAAGCAATTAAGATGAATTCATTTGTGGATGAAATGGATGTATTATCAAAAGTGGATGAAGTGAATGTGACATCAGAAGAAGTGTGCGAGCTGGATGAAGCTCCAGAGAACACAGTGGGATCAGGTATGCATTTCTACATCACATATGAATATATTTTTACAATATGTGCATACCCTTTTATATAAATGTAACTTTGAAACACTGAGCTGTGTGGAACATAGATCATATGCATGGCAGTAATTTTAATAGGTATATATTGCTAAAGTTTAAGAAAGTTTCATCTAATCCTTGCTTGATTTGTTTCTTTGACATCCACATGTGAGCTTGTTTTACTCATCTCAATTGCACTAAAGACTAATTTACTGTTAAACCAACAATTATGCAGGCATGCCAAATGCGGAAGTGGCAGACATTTGTAAAGCCTTTGAGAAACTTGATGTCCTGATTAACGGAAGTGCTCCGAGTTCAGTGCTTGAGAAGGATGTGGATATTGAAGTTGCACACAAAAATGGAGAAGAAAAAGATTGTGGCGAACTTGATAATCTAAAGCTGGAATCAGATGAAACCCCAAATCCAAGTGAGGACGGGGATTTAGAAGGGAAACTGATGATTGAAGAGAAGTTTGATCTGGGAGAAAAGTTTAGTTCTGAGGAGGCTGAGAATGATGAGGTATTTGATCAGAAAACAGAGTTAGATGGCATCTCAAGCCCGTGTGAAGATGATGATTCAGAAGAGAAACTCGATTCTGGGGAGAAGTTTGATGCCACTGAAGTTAGCTCTAAAGAAATTTCAGGAGATAACTTGAGTGCCTCCAAGGATCATGATCTTGTTATGGCTCCAGAAGAAGACTCTGATAGCTTCGAATCAGGTGAGGACTTGTACAAAGCAATATGATTAAGTTGCTCAACATCAATCAATCAAACTAATGAACAATTATGTAAATGTTGCAGGAGATGAAGAAGTAGATATAGATACCCCATTTAACACCGAGAACTTGAGTGGTGCACAAGAATTTGAACAGGAAGACATGCTCTGTGCTGTTTCAGAGATGAAGGATCAAGTCCTGGAGAACAATGGTAAATTTGAAATACCTGCTAATAAACATACTGTGTACAACATTGAATTCTAGCAATTACATCAGTATCTTGTCGTTGTTTCCCACTTCGGCTAGACACATATCATTAAACCCGTATATATCAAAGGGGTCTTTTAGAAACAAAAATATGTTCCACATATCCTTACAAGAATATGTTCTTTCAGAGTATTCAAGTTTGGTGAGCGATATGGTTCTTTCCATCACCGAGAATCCGAGCGAGGCTTTTGAATCGGACAATTTTAGCACTGCTGATGAAATAACCAAAAATGATATGGAACAAGTGTCACAAAACATGGGTATGTGGTCAAATCTTTTTTCTAATCAAATCCTAAATATATGGCCATTGTTGATTCTGGGTACATGATATAACATTTTCTTATTATTGCAGTTGATGAAACCTTAGATGTAATCCCTGCCATCGATAATACCATAACGGCTGAAGAAGTTCAAGATCTTAAACTCTTTACTGAATTCCGCGAGTTTCCATCCAAGAAAACTCCGATCAAGACACCAACATCATTCAAGAACACGAGTAGAATTGTTTCGGATGATAAAGAGAACATTGATAGTGGAAGAAAATTGCAGAATGTTTTTGTGGATGAAGGAAAGAAGAGCAAGAAAGAGAAGGATGAGAATGATAAGGTGAAGAGTTTACATGAGATAAGTATGAGGCAGCTAAGAAAACAAGTGAAAGCATTGACATTGAAGAACCTCAATGCTCATGAAGATGCTGCTGCTAAGGTGAGCTTATTTTGTTCATTTACCCATATGGGTGCTTAATTGTGTGCTTAATTAGATGCTAATGTTTAATTAATGAACAGGAGGCTGCAACAAGACCAGCGTTGCAAGTACTATGTGAGAACCAATTGGTGGGTGGTGAAACAAAGAAATGAGAGGGTATTTGTAGGCAGAATAATAAGTTGGAATTTGATCATTTCTGATGATGATATTGAGATTGGAGGGTGTTTTAAAGACCTTTGATACGAAAACTCGTAGAATTCCTCATATGGGATGAACAATGACTAATTGTTTTTGTCCCAAGTTTGATTTGATCTTGTTGTAACCGGTATATGTTTTCCGTTCAAAAGTGATATGCGAGTTATTTGTTTTCTTCTTTTCTCATGTGTTCTCTCACTCTAAATATAATGATTAAGGGAACATAATGATTAAGAGAGCGTCATCTCTATCGTTTTTGTGAAGACGTTTGATTAAAGTTTGGTAAGAAAGAAGATGATAAAACTAACTTCAACATATCGAAATCAAGTGAATTATTAACAACAATAGAGATAAAATGCTAATTAAGGTGTCGTTTACCAAACGCTTATCTGGATACGCATTTATGATAAAATATGGCAAGGATTAAGAATCTTACCGGTAGGAGTGAACCAAGGACCAATAGTCTTACCGGTGAGGGTATTGTTGAATTTTACCAGTAAACGCTTATTGGATAAGTGTTTGGTAAATGGCCCCTAAATTTTCATCATGTATATAATATTCATCATGTATATAATAAGTGACTTAATTAGCTGTTTGAACCTTCATCACGTAAACATGAACCAAAATCTTTACACACCCATTAAGTGACTTAAGACATTAAGCAGTCCTACAATGATTGCATAATCCTACAAAAAAATTTGAGGTAAATATGAGAACTAGGGGCATGTGCCCCCTACCTCGGGTGGATCCGTCCATTTGCGTACGTATCGAGTAATGAAGGGATTCGCTAGGGATTAGAGTGTGCTTCGTGACCATATTTCACGAAAAACAAATCACTCAAAAGTTACAAAACAAGATCGATCATCGGTCGGGTTTGAATGTCATCTGAAAAATCATTGATTCCCATCAGATCCAAGGCCCTTGACATTTTCACTAAACCTATTTAATAAGATAAACAAAACATGAGCTTTTTAACCAGGTTTGTTTTCAATAAGTAAAAAACCCCAGCTTTATCAAGCAAACGGGATTTGGGTTCGAAAATAGGCTCAATTAGGTTTTTTCGGGTATTTTCAGTCTTAGCTTTTTTCTGAGTCTTGATAAAAAGTTTGTTTGATTGGGTTTTAAGCCCTAGCCTGAGCCAAACTCGAGCTTCGAATTCTTTTATTGTGCATTTTAGCTTTGTACAATTAATTCTTAAACATTTGATCATTAATCACTAACGATTTTAACATGATTAAATCTCAATTATTAAGTTGGACAACTCTTATTCATCTTAAATTTTATTAAAACAAAAATACTTTTTTTAAAATTATTGTTTGTCGTAAAAATATCATATCATAATAATTTATTTACATTTATGAACAATATTCATGCATTATGTAATAAATATGCATTTCAACCATTAAACGGCCATCATATCTTACATGATGACAACAAGTTTGTATGACCCAAAAAGTATAATCTTTTTAACATTTCTTTCTCGGCAAAATATCGTAAACTCTTATAATAGTGATTAAGAGGTTGTTTACCAAATGTTTATCTGATAGTGGTTTATGGGTTATTTATCATATTAGATGAACATGGTAAGAGCTTAAAATTTTACCCGGTAAGAGTGATGACAACGACCAAAAGTCTTATCAAATAAAAAGGATGATGATTCTTATCCGCTTAATGCTTACTAGATTAATTATTGCATACGATGCAATCTAGATAAACTAAAATACCCAATAAGATAAAAATGTCGACTATGATAAGCATTTGGGAAAACAGTTCTTCGGTTATTTATATGATTTGCAAGGCTATAAAGGTCGAAAAGATCTCATAAAGATTTTATCCCTTGACATTGTTTGATTGCCTCTCCTTATCACATTCTAGGATGAGCATCACGTTTCTCTTCGGTTGTTCTCCTTTGATGGGACTGTTGGCTTCTTTTTTGTTGTTATTTTGGGTTTTCTTGTCCCTGCTCTTCTTGGTCCGTTTTCTTTATTTTGATGGGATGCTGCACCTCCTTTTTGCTATATCTTTATTGGGTTTTTTTTTCCCTTAAAGTTGAAAATTTATAAAGTTTAAGGGTATTTCAGTAAATGGTAGAATTTTATTAAAAAGTCGTTATCCAAGTAAATTATTATAAATCCTAAGGCGAAAGTTATAAATCATAAGAGCGTTCACACACAGTCCTTTATGCAATTGCAAATAGTCTTTCATTACATATGACATGCCACATGGTTAGAATTGTATTGTAAGATTTTTACATCTTGCAATTGCAAGCTCTCTCTCTCTCTCTTTATATATATATATATATATATATATATATATATATATATGATTACATACGTGGGACCATCACATTAATTTATATATTTATTTTAATAATTACAATATGTTTAATTAATCTTTATATTTAATTAATGTTGCAATGGGAACCACTTTTGAATATGCAGGATTGAAAGAACAAAAGTTAATATGACACAATTGAAAGTATAAATGAATTGCAGGTATGCGGATGGTCTAATTACCAGAATATGTGTCTGGTCCTTAACCGGTCCCATAACCGGTCCTGGTCCAGATCGGTTTCGATCCAATAAAACCGACCAAATTATGAACCGGATGTAACCGGCGGTTCTGTAACCGGTCCTCACTGGTCCGGTTCTTAGCCGGTCCCGGTTCTGGTCCTCCGACGGTTCCAGCCCGGTCCCTGACGCCGGTTTGGCCATCACTAATGTTTATGATATATGCCCAACAATCTATCTTTGTTTGCCATGGGCTTGGCCCAATTGTTTCCAGGCCGAGGTCCAACTCGGTTAGCCCAAACACCACCACCACTCGTTAAGTCAAAATTGGTGTTCCAAATAAATTACCAAAAAGGTTTAAAAAAATATGCAAAGGAGTTGTGTTTGATCGAGACCAACTTGTTTTTGTGAGACTTGTGAGATCATAGTTTTATACGTGAAACGTTACAGCAAAACATTGTGAAAGTAAGAGAATCCGAACCTTCACAACAAAAATACTGTGAAGTTTAAAGTGTAAAAAAAATGGTTTCACGGATCTCACGAAAACAAGTTGGTCTTACACAATCTCAAGTCAATATATAAAAATTACATTTTTAATTAAGTAAACCGTAAAATTAATTCTTTTAATTTTTTTTAAATTTTATAATTAAAAATGAAATTAAAAACTAGACACTTACTTTTAAAAACAGATAATTATTTTTAAAACTAACTAAAATATTAGAATGCAATAGTGCATGTTTTTTCCCAAATTTAAATCATACTTTATGTATTTTACCATATATAATATTTTTGGTTCACAATTATATATAGAGATCGATCTAGCATTATAATCAACTAAGATGTTCGATTTTTAGGTTACTTTTGGATGTCCTACACCAAGTACCATCATAATGACGACGAAAACTCAAAATTAAATGCTTATGCTTGTCTTGTGAGACCATGGTAGATCAATAGAGTCCATAAAGACGACTCTAATGACATAAAGATTATTCGGATTGGTTTAGAAAAACATGCCGAAATTGAAATAAGATCGAAAAATCAACCACCAGATTAGCATCAGTTATGTTAAGAGTTAAATTAACTGATAGATGAATTCATTTAAATAATACTATATGAACAGAAGAAATACGTGATATCTGTTAAACTAGTGAAATGCCCGAGCTAACGACAACAATTGAATACCAAGACTAAACAAGAACGCACATGTCATATCTTAAGTGTTACCTTCTTTGGTGATTTAAGGAGTTTTTAAGATATCTTTAAAATAAAGTGTCGTATTAACTACTACAAAACAAATGACTTTTACCCATAAAAAACACTCAATAAAATTTTTATATGTGACTGATTAGTGATTAATCACCAAGAAAAGACCAATGGTTCTGTTAGAATACAATTTTTTCAAGAAAATACCAACGGATCACTCAAAAAATACCTTATCATTGAATTGAGTTTTCCACCAACAATTTACTCATCAAATCTTGTGACGGTTTTCTAGCAAATCACTTCTTTAGCAACAGATTTCCCAGGAATATATCCATGGGTAAAAAGTCTTCCATATAATAGTAAACTATTTTATAGGACACTATTTGAAAAAGGTCCCATAAACACTGTTTGGGTAAACATTCACTTCCACAACTGACGTGAGAAATACCCTTGATTGACGTGGGAAATACCTTCGATAGACATGGGAAATTCCCTCGACAGAACCTTATTATTCATTGACATCGATATCTTCGACGACCAGGGCACCCATGATCAACGAGCGACAACAATGATATCTTTCTATCTTGGATTATCACTAACGTATATTTTCGTCAGACAATAGTTATCTTTCTAATTTATCGTAGGTCCTATATATAACTAAAAAGTTATGATCAAGATTCGTCTTATCAACATATCAAAGATAAACGATGGGCCATATTCAATTGTATCATCAAAACACGATCGTTACAATTATTATGGTTATTAAATCAATAGTTATAAATGCTCAAGTATAAATAAAGAGGTCAAGACATTGGAAGGGACACATGATCATCAACTCACATGTGCTCTCAAAGAATTTTCTACATCTAGAATGGTTACATAATTTATTATCCATGACATACGAATTATCCACGTTCTGTAACAACAACAACGGTTATTCCATGTTCGATGTGTTTATCCACGTTCTATTATTAAGGACGACGTCGATCGTTCATCGACGATATCTTCAATCGTCCGTGGTTTTTACCCTTGACGAGGTTTTCCACGTCAACCCAATCTCTTGTCTCTTTTACTTTTTCGTATTATTGTCTTGTTTACTTTGAACAATACTTCTTTAGTTGATTAATCTCGTAATCCAAACTTTAAATTATTTTTTGTGCAATTTTTGGCATAAACTAACACGAATGTCATATAAACATTATTAGTGTTACAAAATGAGTTTATACCTACTGCAACATTTTTAGATAAATAAACGCTATGTGAGAACTAGGAACAAGTATAGACATAGGCAGAAAATAGAATTATTCCTCAAATTAAATATTCAATTCATAACAATTAAACAATGTGTTTGCCTTCCACATAGAGTCAAGACGACAGAGGTGGAATCAAAAGCAAAATTTCATTAACAATGATATCATAATTGCAGAATTACTAACATAATGTGT